GCTCAAGCCTGTAATCCCAGCACTTTGGGAGGCCGAGGCGGGTGGATCACGAGGTCAAGAGATCGAGACCATCCTGGTCAACACGGTGAAACCCCCATCTCTACTGAAAAAATACAAAAAAAAGCCAGACGTGGTGGTGTGTGCCTATAATTCTAGCTACTCAGGAGGCTAAGTCAGGAGAATCACTCGAACATGGGAGGCAGAGGTTGCAGCGAGCCAAGATCATGCCCACTGCACTCACTGGGTGACAGTGAGACCCTGTCTCAAAAAACAAACAAACAAAAAGTACCATGTGGTCAGCCAGGCGCAGTGGCTCATATCTGTAGTCCCAGCACCTTGGGAGGCTGAGGCAGGAGGATTGCTTGAGCCTAGGAGTTCGAGACTAGCCTGGACAACACAGTGAGACTCTGTCTCTCTCTTTGTTTTGTTTGTTTGTTTGTTTTTTGAGACAGAGTTTTGCTCTTGTTGCCCAGACTGGAGTGCAATGGCACAATCTCGGCTCACCGCAACCTCTGCCTCCTGGCTTCAAGTGATTCTCCTGCCTCAGGCTCCAAAGTAGCTGGGATTACAGGCATGCACTACCATGCCCTGCTAATTTTGTATTTTTAGTAGAGACAGGGTTTCTCCATGTTGGTCAGGCTGGTCTCAAACTCCAGACCTCAGGTGATCCGCCTGCCTTGGCCTCCCAAAGTGCTGGGATTACAGGCATGAGCAACCGTGCCCAGCCTCTCTCTTTGTTTTTATGTACCATGTGGGCCTCTGAGTCTGTGTGGGATTCAATAAAACAGGCCATTTGAGTGGGGCCAGGCAAAGCCTGGGCTCCAGGGCTCTTCCCGGGGTTGGAGGGAGGGTGGCTAAAACCCTGCTGGCTGGGTTGAGCAGCCTCTCAGTCTGACTTCTTTTCTCTCCCCAGCCCCCAGTCCCAGCCTCAGCTCCAGTGCCCAGGACCTGGTTAGGAGCTCAGCTTAGTCTTGTAGTGAACTGGTGCATTGGCCCCCAGCTGTCAGAGGCCCCCAGGAGCTCCCAGCCCCAGCCACATCCCTCCCAGGCCCTCGGCCCCAGCCCTGCCAGCTTTACCTATAAATGAAGCGGATGATGTAGTAGCAGAGCAGGAAGATGAAGAACTCTCCATACAGCAGCTTGTAGATGCTGCCCCGCCAGCACAGCAGCAGGCGGGAGAACGAGCCTAAGCGGGCATTAGCCACTTGGCTTGTGTAGGTGATGGTCATGGCCAGGCACTGGGCTGCAGCAGCTGGCTTGGGTCCTGGTAGACAGTGAGAGATGCTGATTGGGGGCTGGTAGGGATTAGAGGCCCTGGTCGGAGCCTGTCAGGACCCTTCCCTTCTCTGGGTCTCAGCTCTCCCATAGGGACCCAGGAGGTGGATGAAGTGGTCTCCAAGGCCCTGCCAGCTCTGACAGCCTGTTGAAGGTGGAAACCCAAGAAAGTGAGCCCAGAGGCTGTCCACAGCCTGCGGGGAAGACGTAGATAGGTGTGTGCATTGCCATGTGCCTTTAATTTTGTATGATTGCCAGGCATGGTGGCTCGCACCTGTAGTTCCAGCATTTTGGGAAGCCAAGATGGGTGGATCACCTGAGGTCAGGAGTTTGAGACCAGCCTGGCCAACATGGCAAAACCCCATTTCTACTAAAAATACAAAAATTTAGCCGGGTGTGGCACAGGTGCCTGTAATCCCAGCTACTCGGGAGGCTGAAGTAGGAGAACTGCTTGAACCTGGGAGGTGGAGGTTGCAGTGAGCAGAGATCATGCCACTGCACTCCAGCCTGAGCAACAAGAGTGAAACTCTGACTTAAAAAAAAAAATTGTGTTGGCTGCGGTGGCTCATGCCTGTAATCTCAACACTTGGGAGGCCGAGGCGGGCGGATCATGAGGTCAGGAGATCGAGACCATCCTGGCTAACACCATGAAACCCTGCCTCTAAAAAAAAATTGTATAATGACAAAGGCAGTAGTAACAGCAGCAATGTCTACACACTGAGCTCGGGTCCTCTCAGCTAGGCAGTGTTCTTAGCCCATCTTGTTCATTAGCTCCCAAGCTCTCATAACCACCCTACTGTGAGAATTATGGAAGGGGCCAGGCAGCGCTGCCCACCACCGTATTCCCATTCCCAGAACTGAACCTAGCTGGTAGAGATGCTCAAACAATGTTTACTGAATGGTGGCCCCAGGGCCTTTCCACCTGCTGATCTTCCTGCCTGGAGGAAGCTCTACCTGAGATACCTGGATGGCTCCTTCCCATTCCAGGTTACCTTTAGAAAGGATGTCCCCGGCCGGGCACGGTGGCTCATGCCTGGAATCCCAGCACTTTGGGAGGCCAAGGCGGGCAGATCATGAGATCAGGAGTTTGAGACCAGCCTGGCCAGGTTGGTGAAAACCCATCTCTACTCAAGATACAAAAAATTAGCTGGGCGTGGTGGCATGCACCTGTAATCCCAGCTACTCAGCAGGCTGAGGCAGGAGAATTGCTTGAACCCGGGAAGGCGAGGCTGGAGTGAGCCAAGATCACGCCATTGCACTCTAGCCTGGGTAATGGGGTGAGACTCTGTCTCAGGAAAANAAAAAAGACAGCATGTTCCCAACCATCCTACCTGGAAATAGAGCCCCAGTGTCACTGGTGCTCACTGTCTCCTTGCCTTGCTTGATATTTCTATATAGCACTTATCATTACTTGAAATTAAACAGGATATCTGCCTGTTTATTGCCTGTTCCCTCAGAATGGAAGCTCCTCCTGTGTGTTCTCATAGAGGGCACTTGATGAACATTTACTGAAGCAGTGATTGATGTCCCCTCCATTCTTTCCCCATGTGTTTTAGCTGCAGCCACACTGGCTGGCTGTGCCTAATGCACACCAAGCTCATTCCCACCTCAGGGCCTTTGCACAGACACACAGGTGCCCACACACTCACGCATGTGCTGCCTGTGTGTGCACATCCCACATACATACACAAGGCGGCCATCCAACCCTGAACCCCTCAAAGCCCCAGCCCAGTCCACCTGGGGCACCTTCTACTCACAGGTGGGTTCCAGGCTGATCCAGTGATTCCACAGGTCTGGCCACTTGGCTGGTGGGACTCCCTGGGACTCTGTGGCCAGTGCCCCTGCCCACACTTAGAGGCTGGCACTGCCCACGTGAGGGCTGAGCTGTCACTTGACTCCCTAAGCCAAAGCCTTCACAAAGGAGCCTTTGTCTTGGTCCCTCCTTATAATCTGCTCAGAAGCAATGGCCAGCACAGCCTGGCCAGGGCCCCTCTAATTTCTTCTTGGGGGGCATTGGGCTGAGATCAGGACTGGAACTTTGGGCAACACTCCCTCTACCATGGCCTTAAAATCTTAGAGGTTGAGGGATCTGCTCCACCAGTATTCTGACCCCTGAGGGAGCTGGGGGGCTGTGCTGAGCCTCAACTCCTCCCTGGAGTGCTCTGACTCCTCCCTGGAGTGCCTTGACTCTCCAGGGAGGAGAAGCCTCTGCCCAGGTCCCGGGGTCTTTGACAGCCCTGTGAGCTGTGGAAAGAATGAATACTGGGCTGCAGTCAGAAGTCCTGGTTTCTGGTCCCAGCCTTGCTATCTGTGTGTGGTGACCCTGGGTGGGTTTCAGCTCCTCTCTCAGCCTCAGTGGCCTTATCTGAAAAGGATGGTGTTGGTTGGGAATCTCATCATCCTAGTAGAATGAAAGAATCTGCATATACTGGTGAGGAGCTCTGATTGGCTGCTGGTGACATCATATGTTATTCTGGCTGTGATTGGTTGGCAGGGCCCATTAAGTGCTTGCCTCAGAGCGATGGAAGGAGTAGCTTGCCGGGGCTCCTGTAGGCGGGGCGGGGGGCGGGGGTGAGTCTGGTGGGGGTTGACAGAGCAGCCTTGGAGTTTATGCTGCCGGCTTCCAGCCAGCCAGTGCAATATGGGAATATGTGCCCAGATCCCCAAGGGCAGCTGGTGAAAATCTCAGCATGTGATTCAATTTTAATCCATCAATCTATACTCAAGGGCTCTCCTAAGCTGTTGAGAGCGATGGGTGTCTACCTATACACTCCTCTTGTACTGTTCAGTGAGGAGAGCAGAGCTCCAGGCAGCAGTGGTACTTGGTCTTTAGTGGCCATAAGAATCGCCCAAATGTTTACTAAAGGTGCAGTTTTGTTTTTTTTTTTTTCCCTAGACGGAGTCTTGCTCTGTCGCCCAGGCTGGAGTGCAGTGGCACGATCTCAGCTCACTGCAACCTCTGCCTTCTGGGTTCAAGTGATTCTCCTGCCTCAGCCTCTTGAGTAGCTAGGATTACAGGCATCCGTCACCACGTCCAGTTAATTTTTTTTTTTTTTTTTTTTTTTTTTTTGTAGACATGGGGTTTCACCATGTTGGCCAGGCTGGTCTCGAACTCCTGACCCCATGATTCACCCGCTTCAGCCTCCCGAAGTGCTGGGATTACAGGCGTGAGCCACCACCCCCGGCCTGTTTTGTTTTTTTTTTTTTTAAATCTTTCTCCAGAATTTGAGTCTGTGACCTTAGGGATGTTGCATTTTAATCAAGCACCTCAGGGAATTATGATGTGTGTGGTCTTAGAACCACACTGCCAGAAGCCCTGCTTTCTAATATGACCTTGTGCCTTAAAATAAACCCACTCTCATCCTCCCTTTCCTGTCACCCTCTCTCTGAAATGTACTAGGCATTAACTATGCTGAGATTGCAGGTGATTTTTGTACACACTTTTTTTTTTTAAGCTCTGGGATACATGTGCAGAACGTGCAGGTTTGTTACACCGATATACATGTGCCATGGTGGTTTGCTGCACTTATTAACCCATCATCTAGGTTTTAAGCCTCGCACGCATTAGGTATTTGTCCTAATGCCCTCCCTCCCCTTGTCCCCCACCACCACACACAACTTTGGCCTTTATATAATTATCTGCCTAGAAAAAAACGCTATTTCACAATGATCTTGAATACTTTTCTAATCATGGCAAACAATAAAGCTGTTGTTATTATAAGAATCTCTTTAGAGACAGCCTTGTAGGAGTATTTACTGCCTCATTGCTATCCTCAACTGAAATGGGGAAAGAAGTGAGTTCACTTCAGCCTCAGTCTCCTCACATGCAAAGTGGGAGGGACAATGATGCCTATGTTGGCAGCTGAGTGAGAATGAAGGATGAGATGTGGCTGTCAACTCTGCAAACCAATGGCTCTCATGCCTGCCAGCCCATTAACTTTTCTTGGTGCAAACCACTGGTGTCTGTGCCTGACCCCTACGAATTCTGATTGGATGGGTCTGGATGGACCCCAGGTGTTGGGGTTGTTCACGTACTCCAGGTGATTGTAATTTTACAGCCTGGGCTGAGTCACTGCTGTAAGGGATTAATTCCCTACCCTATATTCCCTCTTCCCCACCAATACATTCTGAGACTCAAGAGAGAGCTTTCCACTTAGAAAATGATTAATAGATAAATATATATTATATATAAATAAATGTTAATATATTATATACGTCTATAATGTTACAAATATATTTTTATGTATAAACATATATATACATATATATATATTTGAGACGAGGTCACCCAGGCTGAAGTGCAATGGTATGATTTTGGCTCATTGCAACCTCCACTTCCCAGGCCCAAACAATCCTCCCACCTCAGTCTCCCAAGTCACTGGGACTACGGTCACATGTCATCACACCCAGAATTTTTTTTTTTTTT